GTCTACAGCTATATATCATGGTGTTTCACTAATAAAAAAATTTTTTTGAAGGAGTACTGCTATTTATTCAGCCACTGATTAGCTGATTGAATTGGGCATGAACTCCACGTTAATTTTTATTTATTTATTTATTTATTTTCTTTTTATATTTATTTATTGAATCACTGTGGGAAAAGTTACTAAGCTTTCAGGTTTAAGTCTCGGTCATACAATGATCAAACACCTTTCCCTTCACCAGTACTCATTTTTCACCACCAGTGAACCCCAGTATACCCCCCTACCCCTCCAAATGCCTGTGAGGCAGATGATTTCTAATTAACTCTTCTCTACATTGATTACATTCATTATTTCGACAAAAGATGCACCATTATTGTTCAGAATTTCCTCCCCAAACAATCAGAATTGCTGAAAAGGCATTGTGAAATATTTTGTTTTCTGTAGCTGGTTATGAGAATCATATAATGTCACGCGGCCACGATTTTGGATTTCTGCCAAGAGCCAGATAATTACAAGACTGGTTTCTGTGTGTCTGGTGTTATGGCCATGCTGGAGAGCCACTCATGGGGGATAACTTGTAACCTCAGCAGAGCATGAAGGACGTGCCAGTACCCCCCCCCTCCCATGAGACTGCAGTTGCCCCGTCACCGCTGGCTCATACCTGGCTTTCCTATAAGCTCTGAGGCAGCAGCCACCTTGCTGCCAGGGTGGGAAAAGGCGGAAGGGAGCAACACCCTTTCCTTCCTGGGGAGGCATGGCGCCGTAGTTTAATGCATGGTCCATTCACTTTTCTGCTGCAAGCTGCCGGGCTCTGGATTAAGTCCTTTTGCCTCTGGAGCCATGGCCGTGCCAGAGAGCCGCTTGTGGGGAGCAACTCGTGACCTCGGTAGGGTGTGAAGGATGAGCTGGTACTGCCCCCTTCCCATGAAACTGCAGTTGCCCCGTCACCGCCGGCTCATACCTGGCTTTCCAATAAGCTCTGAGCCGGGGGCCACCTTGTATGTAGTACAGATGCATTTCTGCCAAAAGTCACTGGGTTTCAAGATTTGTTTCTGAGTCTCCGGTATCATAGCTATTAATCAGCTTGATCAGGAACCAGAGAGGCCGTTTGTAGGCGGCGACTTGGGGGTCTTGTTGGGATGGGGAGAAAGAGTCGGATCCACCCCCATGTGGTGAGGCCCCATGTGTTCTCGTCACTGCAGGCCCAAACCTGACTGTCCAGTGGCCTCTGGAGGATGGTGGTCACCAGGCTGCCAGGTGGAACAGGCCAAAGCACGAAACCTATTCTCACCTGGAGTGGCCTAGCACCAGTAACCTACTACAGGAACAGGACGCATTTCTGCCAAAAGCCTTTGGGTTTCGATATTTGTTTCTGAGACTCTGGGATCATGGCTGTTAAGCAGTTCGATCAGGAACCAGAGAGGCCATGCCTCCAATTGTATAGCTGAGCTGGAGGTGGTTTGTGGGTGTGTCTCCCACATACCTAACTTTTGGCTGTTTACTTTCTTGGTAAACTTTGCCCCAAGTTTTTGAGGTGTGGCCAAAGGCACAGCAGCAATTTTGGGGTATCTGAAAGACTGACGTTGCCATCAGGCTGCTGATGTACTCACCTCACAGGTACAGATTGACCTGCTGGCGGCACCATACCCCCCTCACTAATAAAAATTTTTTAAAAAAAGGAAACCATCCAGGCCATGCCTCAGATCACTGGCATTTGGGGCTCTATATCTCTGTACCTTCTACACTGTGTCACATCTGTGAGGTCTGCTCTGATAGCCTAGCTGGGGGTTTAGGATTTGATCTTTGTTGTTTCTCTTTAGTCATCATTCTCAGGGTGTCCTCATATGTTCTCCAAGGTTTAAATATCACTATTGGAGCCCGTTATCCCAGCCATCCCACCCAGACAGCCCAGACTTGTCATTCCAAGTGCTAACATCATTTGCACTTCTGACACGTCTCTGTTGTCACCCTCCTGACCTGGTCCTCTTATTGTCATTACCGTAGTGATCTTCTTCCAGAATCTTTCTTGAGCCCAATAAAAGCACTCATACTTCCACTTGCACATCCTGACATTTGGGGTTGCTCTCTGACTCCTGTCTCCTAACCCAGATTCCATACATTAGGAAATGCTGTAAAGTCAACTTCAAACGCCTGCAGAATTCAATCACTTACAGTATTTCACCTGTTCACACTCCAAATGCCCCAACATCTCTACTGTGGAATCTGCACCAGTTTCCCAGTGCCCTGCTGCTCACTCCCCTTCTCCCCCCCGCCATCTGCACAGCATCTAGTCTGATGACCAAAAACATTCACACCAGGCTAAACTATCATTCAACCCTGTCTATAGCTGGCCATTTTAGATACAAGTCAATCCTTCCAGGGTTACTGAGGCCCCAGAACCTGAAGGCACCAAGACCTCACCTCAGTGACTGCTCCAGCCACACCACCACCTCCTCTTCCCTGACAGACACACTTCTACCCTGGTGCACTTGCACTGAGGTTTCCTGTCTGGCATGTGCCCCCAGACACCCACATAGACAATCCCTCATGTCCTTCTTCTTTCCCCAACGGCCACCTTCCTTGTGAGGCCACACTGACCAGGCTAGGAAAGCAGTCATTGTCCCTATCCCACACACTTATGGGATCCTGTTCCCCACAGTAGTTACGAACTACTTTTTTTTTTCACTGCTCCAGCCACTGATGCCTCCTCTTTAGTGACATAGATGTACACCTGCCCTGCTGCATTTACACTGACATTTCCTGCCTGACACCACACACCTACACAGACAGTCCCTTACAGCCTTCCATATTTCCTCCAAGGTTACCTTCCTGTGGAGCCACACTGACCGGGCAAGGAAAACAGTTACTGTCCAAGTCCCCACACACTTATAAATGGATCCTGTTCCCCCCGGAGATTACCAATTTCAAACCAGAACATTTGCCTTGGTAATTATATTTTCAGTGTAAGTCTGTTCCTTCCTACTAAATCTCAAAGTCTGGTAAGTTTTGCCTGATTTTCTCTTTTTTTTCCCCTTTTTTATTCAGATACAGTTACAAAGCTTTCATGTTTCAATTTCCACATTCTTTCCTCTATGGATAATTTTTGGAGCATTTTCAGTGATTTTTCATGACAAACAACACAAAATATATTATTTTGGTTTTGCTTTGGGGCAAGGATTGGGGTTTAGGGTGGAAAAACCTGAAATATGGTATTGGAAAGGTGTAATGGTGGTGGAATTGGCGTTTGAACATTAAATGTAATGAAATATTGTGAACTATTTTATAAAAAAAACAAACAAAAAACAAAACAAACAAACCAAATTTTTATGTTTGAGTTTCACTCATACATTGAACAAACACCATCCTTCCACTGGTGCATTCTCACCAGTAATGTTCCCTGTGTACCCCCCACCCTTTCCAACCCTCCTCTTGCCTCCATGGCAGACAATTTGCCTCATATTATGTCTCTACTTTTGGGCATTATAGTTTAGTATTGCCTGATTTTCATTCTCTGTTGTTTGATAGACCCCAAAATATCATCCCCATATCTGGAGCAGTGGGTGGATGATCAGTGTAAGGCCATGGTAGAGACACTGTCTTATTCATGAAACCTCAACCAACATACTCTGCTGTGGCAGCTACAGTGTCTACTCCAAGTGACATCGATGTCACCTCCACTATTTTCACAAGTGTTTCTCACCCTCACTTTACCTCCCTCCCACACTGGCCCCCCGCAGCACACAGCACTTTCTCTCTTCAGAGAAAAAGATCTTGGGTTCACAAATACCATTTTCTCACCCCTAAGTTTGAAGGAAACAGAGTAGTTTATAAATAAATCCATGAACTCAGATCACAGACAGCACTGAGATTCCTAGAGCTTCCATGTTGCTGGATGGGAGGGCTGAATTCCAGCATGGCCAGTTTGAACACTCATCTCTTGATACCACAGAGACTCCTGTGTGCAGGAGCCATCCTGGGCCTTGAGGGGACAGTTACAGGCAAATGCCTCCTGAGGCTCAGAGATTGGGACACACTGAGAGAATGAGCTATGAATGTGTGGACAAGAGAACAGGCAGCCTCCTGCACATAATCAACAAAGAAACACCCAGATGAGGCTGAGGATCAGACCCAGGCCTGAGCCTAGACTGACCAGCATAGAAGCCCTCGCTGACAACGGTCCTGGGACAGGATGATGCCGGGTGTGACCTGAGTTCCTGTGAGCAAGGGCCTGTGGGATGAGGTGGCACTGAGGGACCAGGAGAAGGAGCAGGAGAAATGACCCAGACAGATGAGTGACCACATCAAAGCCCTCAGCGGCTGAGACAGAAACAGATTGGGCATAGATCTGTCCCTGCCCATCCCCTCACAGCCTCTCCTGCCACATCAGGGACAGACTCATATTAAAACAGAAAACACATGGAAGGTCTCAGGATTTCCATTTGTTCCTTCTCAAATTTCAGAAATTTCCTTTATTAACCCCTAATTGCACAAAACAGGAATTAAAAAACCCAAATTAGATCCTTATTTCAGTAGTGGGGAAACATTATTCAGGAAAATGAGAAGCTGACACAGATGGAGACGGCTGAGTTGTGTCTCTGCTGGCACAGCCCAGAGATCAGAGAAGAGAAGGCAGGTCAGTGTAGGGAGGGTCAGAGGGGCAGGGCTTTGTCATTCTTCCCTGTCATAGTATGTGACAGGATACAGACACACTCAGGACCCAGAGCAGAAAGAGAATCAGCAGTTCTTGAGGTAGAACAGTGGGATGTGAGGAAACCCAGAGGGGCAGCTATCTCACACTGTAAGAGAAAAAAATGAAGAGACCCAGGTGAGTCACAGAAGTGGTGACATCCTGAGCAAGCTCCCAGCATCCCTCTCAAAGAACCCCCAAACCCAGTCCTGTCCCGTCTGCCCAATCTCGCCCTCTCCAGCCTCCAGAGTCTCACCTCTAGGGTTCGTGAGAAACTCATCAGAGCCCTGGGAACTGTTTTCATCTGGGGAGGAACAAACAGGCCAAGGTCAGAGCCCCCAGGGGTGGGACTATAGGAGGAAATAGGGGTGTGGGAACTCCCCATGGGCTCTGGTCTCTGTTCCCAGGATTCCAGGGCCCCAGCCCTGCCCACACTTACTTGCAGCCTGAGTGTACTTTCCTCCTTTCTCACCTGCAGGAAGAAAACATACCAGGGAAGGTCAGGCAGAGCAATGGGTCCTGAGACCACAGAGCAGCTCTCTAGGCCTGGACCCCAGGGAAGGCCCAGGACTCTGAAGACTGAGAGCAGGACCAGGAAACATGCAGGAAGGAGATGCTCCTAGACTGACCAGCCTCTCCTGATGTCTGTTCTCAGCAGAGATAGTCCCTGTGACCTGGGACTCTGGGAACCAGGTTCATCCCCTGCTTATCAAGGTGAAAGTGTCTCATGAGCAAACCTGAGAGCGGCACACACAGGGGGAGTGTGAGCAACAGAACAGGTGCGGGTGGTGCTCCTGCTAATGAGGCAGGAGAGCTAATATGGGAAGAGACTCCTAAAGTGGGACAAGACTCAAGAATTGCCATATTGGACAGATTCCCACCTGCCCCCTTCTCTTCCTCCATCTTACCTGAGTGCTTCTTCCTGCGGATCACAGCAGCCACCACAGCTCCAGTGACCACAACCCCGAGGAGAGCCAGGCCAATAATGATGCCCATAGTGAGAATGGTGGACTGAGAAGGGGGCTCTGGGAAGAAAGGAAGGAAGGAGAGGGTCTGACCCCCAGCCTCAGCCTGACACTCAACAGTTCCCCAGGGAGGCCAACTTTGATTCCCCTTAGAACAGGCTCTGTGCCCCGTCCCCGTCCTTACCCCATCTCAGGGTGACAGGCTCTGGCAGCCCCTGGTGCTGCACATGGCACGTGTATCTCTGCTCCTCTCCAGAAGGCACCACCACAGCCGCCCACTTCTGGAAGGTTCCATCCCCTGAAGGCCTGGTCTCCACCAGCTCTGTGTCCTGGGTCAGGTCCTCCCCATCACGCTGCCAGGTCAGGGTGATCTCAGAAGGGTAGAAGCCCAGGGCCCAGCACTTCAGGGTGACCTCATGGTCAGAGAAAGGATGGTGGGTTATGTGTCTTCTGGGGGCTTCTGAGAAGGAAACGTGAGAAAATTCACACTTTGGGTCACTTCCACAATGAGGTTCAACAGGATAATTGGTTTGGAAGAGGAGTCAAAAATCCATACACAAACTTGGCCGGAGAAACTGGATAAAATCCTATTCTTGGGAAATTCTAGACCAGGTTTTTGGGTTGGAAGCTCAGGTCTCTCAGGAGACACTGACTCTGGTTCTACCCTGGCTTGAGGGTGAGTGACTGAGAGAAGCAGGAGTCAGAGCTAAGATCTGAGAGAGTTCACAGGTGGCTGCCAGGTCCCAGAGAACCCACATTCGTTATTTCAGTGAAGGCCGCCCTCCTCACGCCCCCTTCACACAGAGTTCCTCCACAGTTCCGTGGACACAGGGTGGGTCTGAGGGGAGGGCGGGTCTCTGTGGTACAGAACATGGAAACCAGGCATGTCCGTTCCTCTCCTGACTGAAGAAGAGACTCTGTTCGGACACTGAACCCCACTATGTCACCCCTGTGGGGAGCTGGCCCCGCCAGGGGCGGTCAGTGGTCCTCACCATTGGGGGCCCAGTTACCTGCACGTAGCAGCGTGTCCTTCCCTTTCTCCAGGTAACTGAGGAGCGAAGGCACGCAGGTGTTCTCCAGGTGCTCCCTCTTGTGCTCAGCGTCACCTTCCTTCTCGAACTTCATCTTACTGATCCAAGCCGGCGTTCCCGCCGCCGCCGTCCAGGAGCGCAGGTCCTCGTTCAGGGCGAGGTAGTCGCTGCCTTCGTAGGCGGATTGGTCGTACCCGCGCAGGAGGCGACCAATGGACTCGGACTCCACGTCGCAACCATATATCAGCTGGAAGGTGTGAGAGTCTGACCCGCCCCGCACAGATTAACGAGAACCGTAAACGAAACCGGGCCCGGTCCCCGCGGCTCCTCCGGGTCAAGGGTCCGGGTCGGGTCCCTCAGCCTCGGGGACGCTCGGACCCGCCTCTGGGCGACCCGGCCAGTCCCAGTGTTGGCTCGTCCCTGCCCCGCCACGCTCACCCGCCTCGCTCTGGTTGTAGTAGCCGCGCAGCGTGCTCAGGCTCGTTTTGATCCTCTGTGCGTTCTCCTTGGAGGTCCGCGTCTGCCGCTCCCAGTACTCGGATCCCAACTGTTCCGCCCATGGCGCCCGCGGCTCGGCCCTCGGACTCGCCGAGTCGCTGTCGAAGCTCATGAACTGCGTGTCGTCCACGTAGCCCACGGCGATGTAGCGGGGCTCCCTGCGGCCGGGCCGGGACACGGCAGTGCGGAAATACCGCAGGGAGTGGGGGCCTGGGGGAGGGGAAGGGGTGAGACCCGGCTAGCCCCGCCGCCCGGAGCGCCCCGGGTCCAGGGTGAGAAAAAAGGGAGAGGGCTCAGGAAACGGGAAATGCGGGAGGGACCGAGAAGGGCGAGACCTACGGACGCGGGAGGAGTTGAAGATCGGGGGGGGGGGGGGGAGGGGCACAAGGAGGAACATTGAGCGGGGGGGTGTGGGGGGCGGCATCCGGCAGGGAACCGAAGAAACTCCTTCTCCGGGGTCCTGCACATCAGTGCCTTGCAGTTCTCACCCTTGCCCCACAACGAATTCCCCTCTCGACCCCTTACTCACCGGCGCAGGTCTGGGTCAGGGCCAGGGCCCCCGAGAGCAGCAGCAGAAGGGATCGCGGCTCTGACATACTGAAATAATCAGGTGGGTTCTGACTCCCTCGAGATTCCCATCAGTATATAACCGGGCCGGCAAGCTACGGAGAGTATCTCACCCGCTCGGCAAAACCTGGCAAGCTACCCATGATATACTGGATATGCCAAACACAGTAACAACAAGTCTCACACAGTGGAGACATTACCCGGCCCTGCCCGAGCAAATCGATGAACGGGAGGACAGTGCTATATAACTGAGAGCGAAGTGGACCGCTAATTGGCTGCTCTAGACAACTCTACCCAATAGGAATGAGGACTGGCGATGCGTCATGAGTATCCGGGCAGAAGGTGCGCGGGGAGAAGTGAAACTCTGAGGAGACCAGAACACCCAGGCCTCATCTCCTGCCCAACAACACCACCCTGGAGACACTGGGAGTCACACCTGGGACCTCGAACTTTGCCCTCTCACCTGCTCACTCCCCGTATCTTTGTCACACTGTCTCGCAGTGGCCAAGGGTGAGACTGATTTAGAATGTTCCATGGTTTTCATTTCAGTATCTCGCTACAATCTTACAAGTTCGTAAGATGCCCAGAAATGCTTCTGTGCATTCAGGTAATGCTTATCAGTGTTTTCCATGCAAAGAATCTGAGTTAAAGTCTTTTATTGTTGGTGGTGACGATTTTTTTTTTTTTGGCTTTTGATCACACCAGTCAATGCTCAAGAGTAACTCTTGGCTCTGTGCCCAGGGATTACTCCTGGCAGGTTCATGGGACTATATGTGGTGCCAGGGATCAAACCTGTGTTGCGCGCATACAAAGCAAGTGTCTTGCTTTCTGTAATACCTTTCCGGCAGAGTTAAAGCCTGGAAATGATTTCAACTGGAATAATATATGCAACAAATTAATGCCAACAGGAAGTCTTTGGGTGGGGGGGCTCACTGGTTCTGGACTCTAGAATTATTTCTGGAAGTTCTCAGGGGAACATATGGGATGCAGACAATAGAACCTGTTTCTGGCAAGGTGCAAGGCAAGCTCCTTACCTATTATACTATCTCACCAGCCCCTAGAAAGTCTTTTGAAGAAAAACCATACTAGATTTTTGCCAGGGACCAGTCCCAGCTGAGTAGGCCTGAACCAGGGATGCCATGAGGATTAAGGAAGAGGCAGAAATGGGAGAGAAAAGCATGCGATGAGGAGTTCACAGCCTGTGGACTGAGCCCTGACTGTTCTCCGTGAATCATATTTATTACTTAGAATCCATAATCATCAGAGCAACATTTTTCGGGCAAACACCTAATTACCTTAACCTATCCAAGGAAAATACACATCCAAGGGCCTTGGTTCATGGGGTAAAACATCTTTGTAATGGGCTTTCTTGCGGGGGGGGGGATTCTTTCAGGAGAGGAAGCAGAGATAGAGCAGATACAGAAAACCCTCCAACACCCTCTCCCCGCGGACTGTGCAATATTCCACCTCTAGCACCAGCATTCTGAGTTGAAAAGACGTATCTTGTCCATATCCTTTATTTGTTTATGAGGTCGCTCACAGTGTTTTTTGTTTGTTTTGTTGTTGTTGTTGTTGTTGTTGTTGTTGTTGTTTAAGTATAGCAATGGCCTGGTTCTTTGAGTAATCTTGAGAAGAACACCAAGCTGCTAAATCTTCCATGTAGACCAATTAGGACTACGCTCTGGGCCCTTCTCAGAATGAGGTTGGGCAGATTCCTGGAACACCCTAGCCATCCTCCCCTACCCAGTGGCCAACAGCTTCTACCCACACCCCAAATTTTCAGGCATAGAAATGATCCAGCTCCACAACTGAATCACGTCAAGCTGCCAAGCCACCATATGGTTCCAGCTTCTGGAGCAACACCTGACCCCAGCCCAGTAGGAAAACAGCAGATTTGATAAAATATTCTGTAGAATATTGCAAACCACATTGCCCAAAGGGGGGGGGGAGAGGGAGGGAGAGAGAGAGAGAGAGAGAGAGAGAGAGAGAGAGAGAGAGAGAGAGAGAGAGAAAGCACCTGGCATAGAGGCATGCAGGGGTCTGGGGGTCGGGGGTGATGGGAGGGAACCTGGGGACAGGTGCTGGAAATGTACACTGGTGGAGAGATGGGTGTTGGAATACTGTACGACTGAAATCCAAGTGTTAACAGCTTTGTAATGGTCTATCTCACAGTGATTCAATAAAAAAGTTTTTTAAAAATGTTAGATGTTCATTGATTTAAAGAAGGCCTTTGATTTTGTTGAGACGGAAGTGGCATTGAAACCCTAGCCAATCAGGGCATTCAAACTCAATACATCAGGATCCTCCGTAAGCTGTATTACGGATTCACTACCAGGATCCCACCATTCTACAAAGAAGTAATCATTGATGTCAAGAGAGGGGTTCGGCAGGCTGATACCATTTCACTGAAACTCTTCAGTGCCACCCTCGAGAACGTCATGTGACGACTGGAATGGGAAGGAATGGGAGTGAAGATAGATGGTCAGCAACTATACCACCTCCGCTTTGCTGATGACATTGTTTTAATAACAACAAACATTAGCCAAGCAGCACAAATGCTGGCCAACTTCGACCGTGAATGTGGAAAGGTCGGACTACAACTGAATCTTACAAAGACAATAAAGGTAAAGGTAAAGGCCCTCCCGTTGATCGTCGATTTGCTCGAGTGGGCCCAGTAACGTCTCCATTGGAGACTTTGTTGTTACTGTGTTTGGCATATCGAATACTCTCGGTAGCTTGCCAGGCTCTTCAAGAGGGGCGGAGGAATCGAACTCGGAATGTTTATGAGAAACAGCCTCGTTCCTGACGCTCCATTTGCTCTCAATGAAACGACCATATCCGAATACAACAGTTATGTGTACCTAGGTCGAGAAGTCAACATGACAAATGACCTGGCACCCAAGCTGCGCAGGAGGAAGAGTGGCTTGGAACACCTTCAAGAGCGTTGAAGAAATAGCTAAGAGGATGAAGAACCTCCAGCTCCGGGCACATCTCTTTGATTCCACTGTTCTTCCTGCATTAACATATGCCTCAGAGACCTGGGCCCTATGTAAACAGGATGAGAACGCTATTTGGGTCTCCCAAAGAGGAATTGAAAGAGCTATGCTTGGAATATCACGTTTCACTCAAATGAGAGAAAGAATCTGGAGTTCCGACATCCATCGACGATCAAGAATCAGGGACGCTGTCTCGTTTGCCAAGATGTCAAAAATCAGATGGGCTGGTCACGTAATGAGATTTAAAGACGACCGCTGGACTAGAGCTGTTACCGACTGGATTCCACGGGCCGTCAAAAGACCGCATGGCAGCCCACCTACCAGATGGTCAGACTTCTTCATCAAGATCATGAACGATTGGTTTGAGGCTCTTCATATTCCTAGAATGAACAGACGCCATTGGGCTACACTAGCACGCGACAGGGACAAATGGAGATGTCACTGGCGCCCGGTCAAGCAAATCGATGATTAATGGGAAGTCAAGTGATCAAGTGATCAAAAAATGTTCTGTGGAAGCCCACCAAGGTCATTGAGCTAAAGTAGTAACATAGAAGGCTCAGAGGCACAAAACAGTGCAGGAAATCCTCGGGCAGTGGTTTAATAACACCATTGTGAGAAAGAACAGTGATCACAGATGGACTTCTATTGATCTGTTTCCTGATACATTTTTATTGTAATAAGCAATATGTAGCACTGTAGCACTGTCCTCCATTGTTCATCGATTTGCTCTAGAGAGCACCAGTAAAGTCTCCATGTTGTTGTTGTTTCTGTTCTTGGCATATCAAATACACCACAGGGAGCTTACCAGGCTCTGCTGTGCAACAGCTGTATAACAAAATAATATCAAGTAAATTATTTTGTGCCCACTAAGGAGTCAGGTTTCTGAGTGGGGAGGAGAGGCCTGTGTGTGCAACTAGAATAATGAGCAATGCAGTCAAGTGTGCTGACACCACAGCTGACATGTGCAACCTCAGAGCCAGAGTGTGTGTGTGACCTCAGAGAGCCAGTCCACCTGTGCAAACTAAGAGAGCTAGAGCGCATGTGCCACCACATTCATCCCAGCAAGAATTGCCACTACAAAGGGAATTATTTAATGCAGGAATAATTTTATGTTTTGGTATGTGTCGTAACAAGCAATATGAACTAAATTTCTTTGTGCCTAATAAGGGGGCAGGCTGAGGGGTGTGTGGGAAACTGGGGTCTTTGGTGAAGGGAAGGTCACACTGGAGGTGGAACTGGTGTTGGAACATGGACTTCCTGAAATAATTGTATAATGAACAACTTTGTAAATCATGTTGCTTACATAAATCTCTTATTAAAAAAGTTTCAGGGCTGGAGAGATAGCACAGCAGGTAGGACGTTTGCCTTGCGCACGGCTGACCTGGGTTCAATTCCCAGCATCCCATATGGTCTCCTGAGCACGCCAGGAGTAATTCCTGAGTGCAAGCCAGGAGTAACCCCTGTGCATTGCCGGGTATGACCCAAAAAAAAGCAAAAAAAAAAATAGTTTCAGCAGCTGGGTTCTATGCGGTACACATGGGCCCCAGAGCACCACAGGTGAGGCGCCAGAGACCCTGGAGTTTGCTCAGAGGCCTCCTGAGCACTGCTTGGGAGTCCCCACCCACAGATAAGAAGGAAAAAGGATAAAACTAATCCAGAACATAAATGGTGTTGTGGAAGAGCGAATCCTTCTCATTGTATGTATTTTAAGTGTCTTCTCTATCTCATCAGAAGCTAGATAGATTTTCATATTTTCTTCTGTCTTTAATCGATTTTTATGTGATATGTATGAAAATAATAAATTTTATTCAAATACATAGGGCTGAATAGGATTGGCAGAGTCATCCTGAATAGGATTGGCAGAACACTAGATGAAGGACAACCATGCGAGCAAGCAGGGTTCCGCAAAGGATTCAGCACCATCGACCACATCCACACGGTAACCAAGCTCATTGAGGTTTCTCGGGAGTTCAAGATGCCGCTCTGCTTAACGTTCATTGATTTAAAGAAGGCCTTTGATTCTGTTGAGACGGAAGCGGTCATTGAAGCCCTAGCCAATCAGGGCATTCAAGCCCAATACATCAGGATCCTCCGTGAGCTGTATTGCGGATTCACTACCAGGATCTCACCATTCTACAAAGAAGTGATCGTTGATGTCAAGAGAGGGGTGCGGCAGGGCGATACCATTTCACCGAAACTCTTCAGTGCCACCCTCGAGAACATCATGCGACGACTGGAATGGGAAGGAATGGGAGTGAAGATAGATGGTCGGCAACTACACCACCTCCGCTTTGCTGATGACATTGTTTTAATAACACCAAACATCAGCCAAGCGGCACAAATGCTGGCCGACTTTGACCGTGAGTGTGGAAAGGTAGGACTACAGCTGAATCTTACGAAGACAATGTTTATGAGAAACAGCCTTGTTCCTGACACCCCATTCGCTCTCAATGGAACGACCATCTCCGAATGCAACAGCTATGTGTACCTAGGTCGAGAGGTCAACATGAGAAATGACCTGGCACCCGAGCTGCGCAGGAGGAAGAGAGCGGCTTGGAACGCCTTCAAGAACGTCGAAGAAATAGCTAAGAGGACGAAGAACCTCCGGCTCCGGGCACATCTCTTTGATTCCACTGTTCTTCCTGCATTAACATATGCCTCAGAGACCTGTGCCCTACGCAAACAAGATGAGAATGCCATTCAGGTCTCCCAAAGAAGAATAGAAAGAGCTATGCTTGGAATAACACGTTTCACTCAAATGAGAGAACGAATCCGGAGTTCTGACATCCGTCGACGATCAAGGATCAGGGACGCTGTCTCATATGCCAAGGTGTCGAAAATCAGATGGGCTGGCCACGTAATGAGATTTAAAGACGACCGTTGGACTAGAGCTGTTACTGATTGGATTCCACGGGATGTCAAGAGACCGCGTGGCCGCCCACCTACCAGATGGTCAGACTTCTTTGTCAAGATCATGAACGATCGGTTTGAGGCCCTCCATGTTCCCGGAACGAAGAGATGCCATTGGGCTACACTAGCACGCGACAGGGACAAATGGAGACGTTACTGGCGCCCGCTCGAGCAAATCGACGACTAACGGGAAGTTAAGTGATTAAGTGATTAAGTGACATAGGGCTGATATTTTTAACAATGTGTCAGATAGTCATGAGCAGTCAACTTGGAGACCAATGAGAGCGAGTCATGTGGAGGGTAAAAGCTGGCTGTTTCTGGAAGTGGGGATACATGAATATTGGGGACATAAACCCTTATAGATGTATTTGGATTCTGAAATCACGTGTTTAATGTCCATTTGGTAAAAATAAAGTATCAGTTTGGTAGGTGAAATATGGGCTCAGATCAGCTGTGTTAGCGAGGACCATAGGGGGATGTGGTCAATGAGGATCCAGTCTCCCATGGGTGAGCCCTGGGCTCCATCCTGGCACCCAGTGTGGAAGTCATGAAACAGCAGATGGGAGAAGACATGGG